ATATATAAAAGCTGTATTTCTTTTCTTCTATTCTATCTATATCATAACAAATAATAACAAATAAGCTAACATTAATTGTCATCAAATGACAGTTAATTTGTTTGATGGCGATGTTGTCAACTGTTGCCAGGATTTTAAAAGAAACAAAAAAATTTTAAATAAATATCAAATTGTATAGAGTAAAAACTTTTAAAATGAATCTTACGTCAAAGAGTGAAATCTCACTCCTAATCCAGTACTCATAGTCTTAAATAATGTCTTAGGATATTAATATGTGCTGGCTCTCTTATTGGTTCGTGACATCCTATACTCAAGTTTTAGATATAAGAATCACGATTATAAATATCGGTTTTTTAAAATTGAAAATTGAGCTACTTTTTTTTTAACACTGATTTAATTTTCACTCTTTAGAATGAGATTCTTTAAAACTTTAGAGAGAACAATTTTCTTGTTATTTTTAATTTTATTATTAATATATTATAAAAATAAATCACCCATTTCTTTTAAAACTCTGATATTCATGAAGATAAATAGAAGACAATAAATATAATAGTTAAAAAAATTTTCAGAACTAGAAAGTATGTCTTATGTAGATGAAATATAATGTATATTAAAAAAATATATATGGAAATTTATTATAATATTTATCAAAAATTGTTTAAAAAATTTGCATCTCTAATTGAAATAAATGTGTAAAAATTAGCCATCGTTACACATGCTAGCAGTAGTAAATCCCAGAAAATAGAGAACTTAAAAAGGCGAGTCAAAAAGTCCACAATAGAAAACTGGAGAAACTTGAACAAGAACAAAAGAAAAGAGAAATGTAATCCTGATATTTTAACGAAGTTTTTGATATTTTAGGTCTTTTGTGTTCTGTTCTTTTGTGACGGAACTAATGTATACTTATTGTTGAAATGAAAACAATATATTTAAAGTTTGGCGAGAAAGAAAATTTTAATTCAGACAAAGAACAGGTCTATTGTTGCTGCAGAATCGCCACCGTTGGAATTTTCCACTGTGACATCACATTGCAATTTTGTCAAAGGGCGAATCGCTCTGATACAAGATTGTACTATCGGTTCATAAAGGTTCATTAAGAGCCATTTAAGGGCTTTCAGTGCCACTGGATTTATGTCCATTTCAATGTCGATTAACTTTAATCTCAGTTCAACTTACTCTTTGTATTTTTTTAATTCTTATATGGAAAAAACGGATCTAAAATAAATGTCCTAATACAGGATATGTACCTATGTCCAAAGTTACACAAAACTTTATTTGTTTATATTAATATTAATTGTGCAAATGTTTTTTTCAAATATAATATTATAATTTATTTGTAATCTTTAAATACATTAATTAAATTATAATATTGTAATAAAAAAATTTGAGATTAACAATAATAAATTTTAATATAAGTACATAGATTATATATCACTAGATTTATTTTATTGAAGTGTCTAAAAATTTAGCTAGATACAGATCTGAAAATAATTTTGTCAAAATAATTACGTATAGGACGCTCAAGCTGGCTAGAATGTTTAAAAAACTTTTGCAGCATTGACGCATCATTATGTATAATATTCTGTTATACATAATGATTTTGATTCAACAAAATTATTTTCAAATTTTGAAGTATGAAATTTTTAGTAAAACCATTCTTTCCATGTACATTGAAAAAAGAGTCTGGTTAATTGGAATTCTGATTAAAAATGAACCAGAGTTTTCCAGTTGAATCTATTATAATTCTAGTTAAGATAACAAAATTCTAATATGTATGTCACTTTTTTTTCTTCTTATCTATTTTCAACTCAATTGAAATTGAAGTTAATTTGCATTGAAACGAGCATTGCATCTAGATTACAAAAAAATAGCGCTATTTTTTATTTATATAATCTTGGTTTTTGCCTGTAATTCTTTGTTGCATTGTAGAAATCATTGGTTGTGCGTTCAACAGGAAAAGTAATTATTGTAAGATTCTTTAATGTAACTGGTTTATACATTTAGATTCGTAAAGAATTAAGAAAAAGAATATCACATTAAGGAATTTTTACAACAATTTCAAAGCTGTTCTTTTTATTGAACGCGGCCAATTATTTCTGCAATCCAAGAACTATAGACAAGAACTGAGATTATACAGATAAAAAATAGCGATCGTTTGCACTACTCTTGTAATCTAGAATTCTAATGCCAAAAATTACTGGGCGTTCATTGAACAATAAATGATTTTGATGAAAAAGGGAAGGTAGCCAAAAGAGAAACTTGATTGTCGGTATTCACTGAAATAAAAGAACTGCTCTATTCTTGTAATATCTATCAGTTCTAATCGAATTTGCCACTGCGCGTTGCACTTTCGAGTTTGACGCGCGAGCGTGAGCCCGAAAATCAATCCGTTGCCAATTTTAGCAGCGGCGCGGCGCGTCAATATACGCCACGCTTTCGGCCGGAAAGCGAGACGGGCGCGCGCGGGTCCGATCTTTTCCCTCGGCCGGAATATTTCATTGCGCTCCCACGCCTCGGAAGTTGTATTTATATGTGGACCTGCCGCGCTACCGGAAATGTAACGCGATGTACATGGTGCTCTCGAAATACGACGCGCGTGTGTCCGACGTGACGCGTGTTACCTTCCCTCGAGTCTCACCGCCGATCACGTTTTAATCATTTCGAGTTTTTGAAGGATCTTAAAATACATTAACTTTAATGAAATTAAATTCAAATTGTGTAACTTTAAAGTTAATAAAATTTAAGAACATTTCTAACAGTGCAAGAATTAAAATAAAATAAAAAATGATAAGGATAAGAAACACACACATATATGTCTATATCTAACATTATCATTACAAATGATTTAAAATAGAGTAAAAAATGCTCGTATATTTTCTTAAAAATTAACACAATGTCATGGTTTATTTCAAGCTATAATTAAATTAACTTTAAATTAATAAACGTTAATCAATAAACGTTTTGGCTTTGTAAGCAGAAATCTTAAATTAATCAACCAAATGGGTAACGGATACAATGAAAATTTAAAACACATCAGAATTTTTTTATATATTGACACTTCATCACTGATGTGTTTTAAATTTAAGATTGTATTTCTGTGTTTTAACACTAAGGAAGACTTTGTAAGCCGAAATATTTGTTGATTATATTAATTTAAAGATTATATTAATTTAATTATAGCTCGAAATAAGCCATTGTATTAATTTTTAAGAAAATATACGAACATTTTTTATTTTATTTTAAATCATTTGTAATTAAAGATAATGTTAGACATATGTGTGTTTCTTGTGTTAAACATGTGTGTGTTTCTTATCCTTCATATCATGTTTTTTATTCTACTTTAATTCTCTAGTTTACACTGCACTGTTAGAAATGTTTTTAAATTTTATTAACTTTTAAGTACAGTTACACAATTTGAATTTAATTTCATGTGTACATTAAATTTAATGTATTTATAACTAAAAAGTATATATTTGTGTACAAGTACATAAAATTTAATGTATTTTTCATGAAAATTTATAAAATTTAATATGTATTTTTCATAAAATTTTATTAGAAGTACATTAAATTTTATAAATTTAATGTACACGTTCATTTCATTTAAGTAACTACTGTAACTTAATTTTCAATTAAATCATTCATTACTTTTAATTTCGTTTATAACCACGAGCTTCATTTACATGTAAAGGAAGTGTTTAAATTTCTAATAGTGTAATATCTTAATATTATAATTTTCTTGCTATTTTGTACAATTTTCACGCAAAAATACTGATAGTCTTTTATCATAGTTTCATGGCTCTCTCTTGATATATTTCTTCTAATAATATGTTTTTCTTATCTTGCAACTCCTTTTATCCTCCTTTCTCTTTCAACAGTTTCTTATATTACAAAGTTAGTAAACTGTAGATAAACGGATTAATCGATAACAAAGTCACGCGTTTCAACTTTAAATGCGTCATCAATGCGTTACAACATTGTTGCAATATTGCTGAAATGTTTCGAAATATTAATTCTTCTTTATTGAGTTTCTTTTTTTTTTCCTCGAAAAATTCTTCAAGTTCGAGTAACATCAATCAGCTTGAATCAAATTAATTAATAAATAAATAAAAGAGACGCGAAATATCTCTGTACACAACCGAATAAAAAAATTATTACTCTATGTAAAAATATTGTCTCAAATCGCGTTCTCACGACAAGACCTCTGCGTTTTGAAACGCAGAGCCTGATGAGGCCCTTCTTCTCCCTTCGCTCGCACTTGACCAACGGGGACGGTGAAGATTCGTTTACTCTGCTTGCAGACCGGAAACGGGAGACTCCCGTGGTGGCGACGGCGGCGACGGCGACGACGGTTGCAACGGCGGCGGCTGGCTGGCCGGAGGCAGCAACCGGCAACTTGTACATCGAAGAGGGGGGCACAACGACACCGAGAAGTAAACGATCGCAAATCGCACGGATTCAACGTAACATCGAGACCATTCTCAGTCACAAGACGAATCAGGGCGATTGATCTCGGAGATCCCCAATCCGGAAGATCCCCTTAAACGAAACGCACTCTTAGGGTATTCATAGTCGGATCTTATTTAAGACCATCTTAAGTACAGTCTTAAAATGTCATGAATCAATCAGAGAGCTGAATTAGCATTTTAAAACATTACTTAAGACAGTATTAAAATAAGAATGAATATCATTCTATGAATATCATTCTTAGACTTTCTATGTAGAAGTCACGTTTTTTCATAAATTTAGGCTGGTATTCATATCCTGATTCCTTCTTATTTTAAGATCATCTTAAGTAATGTTTTAAGAAATGCAGCTCTCTGATTTGATTCAGGTCATCTTAAGACTTACTTAAGATTCTTAAATATAAGAATCGACTATGAATATCGGCCTTAGAGTCATTTTGCACGAAAGATATTCGAACGAACTATAATCAGTATCTCCTTTCAAAAATTCTCTCGATGAGCTCCAAAGGATTTAATAAGGATCCAGATTCTAACAAAATCGATTTTGCGCTTCTCAAGCGTTCTTAAATTAAATAAATCTCACGAGGAGAAGAAATTCGCGGGAAAATTTCTGGATGTGTTCTCGTTGAGATAAATGAAAATTATAAAATCTTCTAGTATAATTCCGAAGACAGTCTTGCAAATCAGATTTTATTGACTGTCTTCGTCTATCTTTGACGAAGAATTCAGCACATTCGGAGAAACAGAAGCTAAGCATTAAATCGAACTATGTCTATTTTGTAATATTATTAAGTGTAATGTAGTGTAATTCATTACAACCAGACAATCTCAACCAGGGATACTCACACTTTGGATCGGCTGCGCGAACGTTATTTGTGCAGATGAACTAAATATTTTGAATAGCTCTCTTTCCAAGCACGTTATGATTATCGGAACAAAAAAACGAAAGAATTGCTAATTAGTAAAGAACGTCGCAATGTAATCAATTCTTAAAATGTATTCTTATGTTTTAGACAAACGAATCTTTGTAAAAAAAAATCTCTTAAAATTTAAGTTAAATGATTCAAACTTATTAATTTAATGTAATCGATTGATTAATTACAACTTGATTGTTAAATCTTAAATCTTCTTATAAAAAGTAAATTCTTACGTAAATTTCTTATTATAATTAACATGATGTATAGGGGAAGGTCAGGTGAATCCGACATCTTAGATTTTTTTGAAGATTTTATTTTCTTGGACGGCAAAAATTAAGTGTAATATGAGACATTTTTTTACACCCAAGCTACCTTTTTAATTTTATATTTTTTTAATAACACTTTGTTCTCAATATAAAAAGGTCTTGGCTTTCATGTGCAATTAGATTTGTCACTGATTTGACAAATGCTGCCACACACTTGTAAAATTTTAAACAATTCTTGTCCAATATCAAATCTGCCCGATGTATCACCCGATCTTTCTCTTATATATTATTGTATAATGGTGCTATAACATCTGGATGGTGCAATTTGAAAATTCAGAGAATGCTCAATTAGAGAAATTACTCGACTTTAACATTTATCTACTATCGTTGCGCGCAAAACCGAAATTATTTTATGTAAGAGAAAGAGAGAATGCAATAAAGCAATGAACAAATTGAAATTTTTCACGCGTCAGATTACATGCAACTTGTCTCTTTCTCTCTTTGTTTATTTCTCCCTGATAAATTAATAAAATCGTTATGAAGAGATGCGATGTCTCCTGCTGTGTCCCGGAGCTCGAAGGCAACTCGAGCAACGAACGACACGGTCGTGTGTCCGGATAAATAAATTCTATTTATTTCTCTCTTCCTCTTTTTGATAGCTTTAACACGACGAACACTGTAATATAAAGCGCTTCTGTATTCATAAACGCATGGTAACGCAAGCAATAAAGTAAGATTATAACATTTATCGATGGGCTGTCTTTATTTTTTTCCTGGAAGAGGTGGAGACGACACATAAGGAAAACCTGCGAAATCCGGGAAATATCAAGTATAAAAAATACATATAGGATGTTCAAATTTAGACAGGAGATTTATATCAACTTTTTTTTTAGCAACAATATAAAGACGTGAAAGGCTACTATTGAACAGCTACATGTGAACTTTTCAATTATCCAATTACTTCCTTGTCTAATAGAGAATACAAATATTGTCATTTATTTTTAAACTGAATTCGAAAAACTTTCTATTTTAAATATCATATAAATGAATTATTTATATTTCTTTATTCTATATTTTTCGAAATATTTTAGAACTTAATTTTAGAAAGTCTTTTATTTTAAATAATTTTCAATTAAAAAATAATTAATTTTATATATATTTTCTCTTAAATAAAAAAAAATATTCTATTTATTTTTGAATATTTTGAATTTTGATTTTTGCGGAAAGTTTTCTATTTTAAATAGCTTGTAGCTAGACAAATATCTTTCGATATTTTTACTAATAGATATTAAATTTAAAAATTATGGAATAAATAATATTATACATCTATTTCTGGAAAATTATGCATATGTCGCTTTAACAGCAGAAATATGAATCAATTAATTTTATTATCTACACATTTCCAATATTATTATTGAAAATTGTGTTGCGTGTAATACTTTCTAAGAAGTAATCCTTGACGAGGTAACAGAACGAGTAAATTGCGAGTTTATACGTGCCGTCACGCACAAAGCCTGGATTCTATTGCAGGGAAGTTAGAGACTGGTGAGCCAGAAAGAAAGAGAATAAGACGTGTACGATAAAAATTCTCTCCGTTCTATTCCTTATATACATAATATTCATGTATTTAGATTGTACCCATTACACCGTAGTAACATCAACAATATTTTTTTTTTAATTCCATTCTTATCGATTTAAATATATCTTTATTCGTATGTATAAATAAATTGTGGGAAGGTGAGGGGAAGGGGAAGTCGAGGGAATAAGGTGGATGTGGGTGGCTTGTCGTGGGTGTCTAAACGCCTGTCTCACACTCAAGGCTGTGCTCGTCGTACTCTCGCTTGCCCTAAGATATATACCTTTACGTCTATCTTCTAGCTTTAAGACTATTTTCTTTGTAAACGTGATCACAGTGTAAAGGCGTCGCTATATACGCTAAAGCGGTAAGCACATATGGTGTGAACACGGATTAACACACACTCCTGTATCTAGTACATCTGCATTTTTTAATCGCATCTTTCGCTCTCTTCTCCGTTCTTCTTTCTCTCTTTTTCTCATTTTCTTCGACTAAAACCTCCTATCTCTCTCCTCGCACGAATTATAATACAACTTTCTCATCCTCGATGAAATAATCCCAATCAGGCACTTTTTTTGTTCACAATTCCGCCGAGGAGCCGCACGAGAGTACGACAAGCGCGCGCATTTTTTTTTTTTGTAAAGGTATCTAAAAAGATTTGTACGTTAATGATTTAATAATAAGGATCGAAAGTGCGAATGACAAACGTGTTCCTAATAATGAACATACGTGCCCTGCGTACAAAATAGTGGTAGTTTCGCGACAGCTCTTAAATACGTTATATCGATCGAAGATAGTAATAATTCGTGTACGTTGCATTCGTTTATGCGCGAGAGATCTGCCCGATGGCTTTTTCCCGGCGCTCATTGTTTTTTTCTTTTTTTTTTATACGTGAAAATTTGCCGTTATAAATTATATTATGCGACACCGGCTCTGTTAGAAAAGCACCGTTAATATTAAGACATTCGCTTATTTATCGTATAGTCCCGTGATCTCCGGTCCTCTTGGAATGCAAAGCAATAATAAATTACTTAGACTCTAATAAATAATTATAATCGTATTAAATACTATGCGATATACAGAATAGTTATTTTAAATAACTACAACCATTTACAGCAGTGTCCGCGTG